GTCTGCAATAGCATTATGCAATATAATAATAATAATAATTGTATGGTACTGGTATAACAGTCAGTACTGTGTGCATTATTATTTTGCTCTTCTTGTCACAACTGCAGTACAACATATACATATTTCTATTTATATGCTAATATTTCATATACTGGCAATATAGTATAAATAAACAGCATATTTATTTTCTAAAATAGGTGATTTTAACTAACCTTTTCAAGATTTGAGGAGCAAAAAAAAGAGTGCAAGAGAATACTGAGATCAGACAACAGCTCACATAGCCTGCCCTTAAGTGGGTCCCATTTTCAAGGTGGTTTTAGCTAATCTTGTGCCATTACAAAGAGAGCCAAAGCAATTTGCATATCAGACTTATCCCATCCAAAATGGTGGTCCAGATCAGAAATGCGGGTTGGTTCTCTCTGTGCAAGAGATACAGCAACCCCACACAATTGTTTCAGCTTTGTTAGGCCTCATCATTGCGGTATAGCCAATAACCCTCTAGGCACAGTGAGCAAGTGATCCACATCTGGATTACCCTTTAATATTGGGGAGAGCAAAAAATCAGGGTGCAGGAGAATACTGAGAAAGGACAACATCTCATTTAGCTTGGCTTCAGTGGGTCCCCACTCAAATTTCAAGCTGGTTTTAGCTCAGCCATTGCAAAGAAAACCTAGGCCATTTGCATTTCAGACTGATCCCACCCAATAGGTTGGCCCAGATCCAAAATTCAGATCAGCTTTCTCTGCCCAAGAGCTTGGTCTGTAGCACATATGTGTTAGAACAGGTAGGCAGCAACAACATCCAAACCAAAGTCTTTTAATTTCGTCTAATAAAAATTGCAAACAGATAAGAAGAGTCCTTGATAGGCCTTGTCAGTGTGCTATAGCCAATACTCCTCTACGCACTGTGAGCAAGAGGTCCAAGTCTGGATTACTTGTGAAGAGCAAAACAGGATGCAATAGAATACTGAGAACGGCCATCAGCTCAAACAGATTGCTCTCTGGTGGGTTCTTGTTGAGTCTTATTGAAGTGGTTTGGGTTCAGTGCCCCTATCCATCTGACTTTGCAATGTAAAACATTGCAGTGTCTAAGAAACTGCAATGATTACATTGCAGGGTTAACTCCATTGCTAGTGGTTATCTTCCTGACAGCCACTAGAGGATCTCCCTGGTCCCAAACCAGCTTTTACTCTGTTGGATGTCTTTACGCTTTGCATAAGGATGCCAACATCTTCAGATTCCCCATAGGAAAACATTGATTCAATGCTGGGAAACAATTAATGTGCGAGCGCAGTACATGCGCATTAGGTCTCATAGAAACATAGAAACATAGAATGTGACGGCAGATAAGAACCATTTGGCCCATCTAGTCTGCCCAATTTTCTAAATAATTCATTAGTCCCTGGCCTTATCTTATAGTTAGAGGTTAACCCCTTTACCATGTTAACCTCTACCACTTCAGCTGGAAGGCTATTCCATGTATCCACTACCCTCTCAGTAAAGTAATACTTCCTGATATTTTTAAACCTTTGTCCCTCTAATTTAAGACTATGTCCTCTTGTTGTGGTAGTTTTTCTTCTTTTAAATATAGTCTACTCCTTTACTGTGTTGATTCCCTTTGTGTATTTAAATGTTTCTATCATATCCCCCCTGTCTCGTCTTTCCTCCAAGCTATACATGTTAAGATCCTTTAACCTTTCCTGGTAAGTTTTATCCCGCAATTCATGAACCAGTTTAGTAGCCCTTCTCTGAACTCTCTCTAAGGTATCAATATCCTTCTGAAGATACGGTCTCCAGTACAATATGTGCATGAGCACTTCCCTCTTTCTACTGCTAATACCTCTCCCTATACAACCAAGCATTCTGCCGGCATTTCCTGCTGCTCTATTACATTGACTGCCTACCTTTAAGTCATCAGAAATAATCACCCCTAAGTCCCTTTCCTCAGATGTTGAGGTTAGGACTCTATCAAATATTCTGTACTCTGCTCTTGGGTTTTTACGTCCAAGATGCATTATCTTGCACTTATCCGCATTAAATGTCAGCTGCCACAACTCTGACCATTTTTTTAGTTTACCTAAATCATTTGCCATTTGGCTTATCTCTCCTGGAACATCATCCCTGTTACATATCTTAGTATCATCAGCAAAAAGACATACCTTACCATCAAGATCTTCTGCAATATCACTAATAAAAATATTAAAGAGAATGGGTCCAAGTACAGATCTCTGAGACACCCCTCTGGTAACTAGACCTTTGATTCAAATATACTCTGTTGAAAACAACCCTCTGTTGCCTGTCACTCAGCCACTGCCTTACCCTTAAATGTCAGTTGCCACAACTCTGACCATTTTTCTAGTTTACCTAAATCATTTGCCATTTGGCTTATCCCTCCTGGAACATTAACCCTGTTACATATCGTATTATCATCAGCAAAAAGACATACCTTACCATCAAGACCATCTGCAATATCACTAATAAAAATATTAAAGAGAATGGGTCCAAGTACAGATCCCTGAGGTACCCCACTGGTGACAAGCCCAATCTTCGAATATACTCCATTGACTACAACCCTCTGTTGCCTGACACTCAGCCACTGCCTAACCCATTCAACAATATTGAAATCCAAACTTAAAGATTGCAGTTTATTGATAAGCCTTCTGTGTGCAACAGTGTCAAAAGCCTTACTGAAATCTAGGTAAGCAATGTCTACTGCACCACCCTGATCTATAATTTTAGTTACCCAATCAAAAAAATCAGTAAGATTAGTTTGGCATGATCTCCCTTGAAATCCATGTGTTTTTAGATGTTCATCAATCCTATCCTTTAACATGGTTTCCATCACTTTCCTCACTACTGAAGTAAGGCTTACTGGCCTTTAGTTGCCCGACTCCTCCCTATTACCTTTCTTGTGAATGGGCACAACATTCGCTAACTTCCAGTCTTCTGGGACTACTTCTGTTAACAATGATTGGTTAAATAAATCTGTTAATGGTTTTGCTAGTACACCACTAAGCTCTTTTAACAGCTTTGGGTGTATTTCACCAGGTCCCATTGACTTATTTGTCTTTACTTTTGACAGTTGAAATAGAACCTCTTCCTCTGTAAACTCACGTGTAATAAATGACTCATTTATCCTTTTTCTTAACTGAGGTCCCTTTCCTTCATTTTCATCTGTAAATACCGAACAAAAATATTCATTGAGGCAGTCAGCTAGACCTTTATCCTCTTCTACATATCCTTCTTTTATTTTTAATCTAACTGATCCTTGTTTTACTTTTCTTTTCTTTTCTATTTTCTCTTCTGTGTGTGATTTGGAAGCTCTTATAACTTGCTTAGCCTCTTTCTGCCTAATCTTATAGATCATTCTGTCTTCCTCACTCTGTTTTTTTTTTAATATTTACTAAATGCTAACTTTTTGTTTTTTACTATTTTGGCCACATCTGTGGAGTACCACAGTGGTTTCTTGAATTTTTTGCTTTTACTGACAATCCTAATGCAATTTTCTGTTGCCTTCAGTAGTGCAACTGTTAAATAATCCAATTTTTCTTGGACTCCTTTTAAATTGCTCCAGTCTGATAATGACTCCTTTACACATATTCTAATTTTAGAAAAGTCTGTTTTTCTAAAGTCTAAAACTTTTGTTTTTGTGTGGTGTGACTCAGTCACTGTTCTTTTATTAAACCACATTGACTGATGATCACTGGATCCTAAACTTTCACCTACAGTAATATCTGATACCAAATCTCCATTTGTTTTTTTTTTGTTTTTTTTTTTTTTATAATTTTTTATTTTGGTTGTGCATATATGATAGAATACAGGCAAGCTTATAATATGTCACATTGGCAGAGGCAAGCTTCCATAAACACAAACAATGTATTATATGACATATGAGGAACATGCACATTTTTATATTACGTGGTTAAACAAGCTTCAACATTCTATGTGAACAGGTAGATAACATTTGAGACTTGCACAGTTTTAGGGTGCGAGTATAAAAGAAGTGATCATGTCACTATGCATAGTGTAAGATATAAAACATGTTTAAGGGCAGGTCGCACAAGCAATAACAAGATTGTTATAAATAGTTTTGTGGCCTTGGAGCTAAGTTACATGTCAAGGTTCCACCAGTAGCATTTAATACAGGTTGTAAGGTATCCATGTTAATCTATGGTACTCAAGCAATAGTGGTAATAACTTGCTGCACCTGTTAGTTAGCTTTTGAGAGATATAAATGTTAGCATAGAAGATTTTTTAGGCCTATGTCTGCATATTTATGGTTTGTACTGATAGTAGCTAACAAGGCTTAGGGCCACTGGAAACAAGTTGCCTTTAAGGCAGTAACTAGAGCGAGGAGGTACAATAAAAGTAAAATTGCGGACAATAAAACAAGGCCTTAAAACAAGGGGAACCGCTTTTTCTCGTAATGCCATGTTCGAGGGATGATATAGGTTATATGTATTGCCAGCCTTAGTTCCTTAAGACCCATAGTCTATGCAGTGACAGTTCTAGTTACTTGAGTCAATAGTCCGTGCAGCAACAGCAGTAAATGTGCCCTGTGGGTGCAAATACGGCATGTCCATGAGAGACATAGTGGTCGGCTTCAGCCTATGCCCAGTGCAGGATTGTGCCTCTTGCTGTTGGCTTTCGTCTCTGGGAAACCGCTGGTGCATGCTGGCAAGCTGTATAGGAGCGCTGCTGTGCGGGTGCGGGAACAGGTGATCCTCCAGCCCCAGGCTGGTGAGCAGGCCTGCATCACAGTGCCACAAACTCGGTGACTGCCAGAGTCTGAGTTTCCTCCTCTTGTGGGAGTGCCAGGGGGTCTGGTGGTGTGCTGCCGTTTACGGCGCTGGGACCTCCGCTGCTGTGGAAGATGCTTTCGGGCTTTAGCCCTGGGGGCCTTCAGCCCAAGTGGGCTACGTGGAATAGGGGTACTTGGCTGTGTTGTCGCTGCGCCCGAGGACACCCTCCTTGTTCCCCGCTGCTTGTGCCCTAGCTCACCGGCGTGTGTCTTGGTTTGTGGATTGGTCTGGGCTGTCTTTATGCGTTGGTCCAGTTTCTCCCAGAACCGGAGGAAAATTTCCTCGAGGCGTTGCAGGGTATCTGTGGCAGTTTTTTGATGGGGCCTGTAGCTTAGAGGTAGGCTTCGAGTATTTAGTGAGTGTTCAGCCGCCATCTTAGATGTGCCACGAGGCCAGCGTTTTTGGTGCTTCGCTTGATGCTGTTGTCTCGATTAGTGCAAGTTGTTCTCAACTGCAGTTCTGTATGGTGTCCAGGATAACCCCCACCGGACCGGGGGGGGGGGAGAGGGTTGTGTTCAGGGTTTCAGTCGCTGTACTTGTGCCCGAAGAGCGGCCGTCTCTCCGTGGCTCAGTTCCTGGCCGGCTGCAAGCCTCAGTGCGTCTAGTTGGCTGTGCTGGAGCTCAGGAGTGGCACCTTTCGATGCAGCAGCCTCTCCTGGTTTCTGTTGTCGTGGGTTGCAGTCTGTCAGCCTCAATTTTTGGGCAGAAATCCCTGTTTTTTGTCCCCAGACGTGGGAGCTCTTGCTGGACACATCTGGGCTGCTTGGTTGCTTAGCTCCGCCCCCCAAATCTCCATTTGTTAACACCAAATCTAATATGGCCTCTTTACGAGTTGGCTCCTCAACGACTTGTTTTAGAGACAATCCCAGTAGGGAGTTTAGAATAAGTGTGCTCCTGGCACAAGCAGCTATTTTTGTTTTCCAATTCACATCAGGAAGATTAAAGTCACTATTTCCTCAACTAGTAGATTATCTAACTTATCATTTGTCCTGGGGCCTATAAATCACACCTACACGAGTTACTGTGAGATTACCAAATTCTAACATAACCCAAACGGACTCTATGTTCACCTCACTGACTTTTATTATGCTAGATTTTATGCTATCCCTCACATACAGGGCCACCCCTCCCCCTTTCTTGCCTTCCCTGTCTTTTTTATATAAAGTGTACCCTGGTATTGCTATGTACCAGTCATTTTTCTCATTATAACATGTCTCAGTAACAGCAACTAAATCTACACTATCAGTGCCATTATTGCCACAAGTTCATGGATCTTATTCCCTAAACTGCGAGCATTTGTAGACATGACTCTAAGCTTATCATTTTTTAACACACTTGCTACAGGCACCTTCTGTCCTTGTTTTGGGGGACAATTGGATTTATGTTTTATCACCCTTTTGCCCCCCCCCCCTTCTAGTTTAAATACATCCTAGAAAACCCTCTTAACTGCTCACTGAGAACATTGGTTCCCTTTTGAGAAAGAAGCAAACCATCTTTTTTGTACAGTTTATTTCCATTCCAAACAGAGCTACCATGAGAAATAAAGCCAAATCCTTGCTCCCGACACCATTCACCAAGCCACAAGTTAAAGTCCCTAATACGCATCTGCCTGTCGTTCTGAGTGTTATGCACAGGCAGAACTTCAGAGAATGACAGTGTGGAAGCAACCTGCCGTATATCATTGGCAAAAACACTAAAAACTTCCTTAACCTCTGAAACCTCATTGCAAGCCAAGTCATTTGTCCCTAGATGGACTAGTACATCCAATTCCCCTTCCTGCTTTGCTCACTTAACAATATTACAGATACGTCTCCTGTCTCTGTGAGCAGTAGCTCCGGGAAGACACCTCACAAGACCACCATTGTCCTTCTCCACACCTCTTATGATGGAATCCCCCAACAACAACTGCTTTCTATTAGGCCTCACCATGGTCTCCAAGCCTGTCTCCACAACACCATTAGCCTCAGTATCTGAGCCTGCCTCCACAACACCACTAGCCTCAGTGTCTGAGCCTGTCTCCACAACACCACTAGCCTCAGTGCCTGAGCCTGTCTCCACAACACCACTAGCCTCAGTGCCTGTGCCTGTCTCCACAACACCACTAGCCTCAGTGCCTCTCTCCACAACACCATTACCCTCAGTGCCTGTCTCCATAACACCATTACACTCTGAAAGTGCAGAAAATGAATTATGTAGAGCAACAGACTGTGCAATATGCCTTTTATTCACAACTCTAAGTCTCACCATTGCCATGACAAGAAGGAGGTCTAGCCAGTGCCAAGAGAGCAACAGGACTGGACGGAGGTAAACGAAAAAAGGGTTTTTATCCCTTTTGTCACTGAAGTGGTGGTAAGGACAAAACTAGAGGCAAGGACACTATAGCTTTAGGAATACAGGTTTGTATTCCTAATGCAATAGTAAACAAACCACAAAGTTGGAAAAAATCCTCCTTTGGTTAAAAGGAGGAAAAAAAACAAAAAAACCTCCACAAATTAAATTATTTTCAAAATGCTGCTCTATAAAAGACTGGTTAAATAGATCACCATATAAAATGTACATAAAAAAAAATATCAACAAATGCACATGGTTAAAACCATGTAATATACTTGGAACTAGTATCTAGGTAAAATAATAATCCATTTAAAAGTACACAATTTCTGAAAAATGTAGTCTTAAAAATTATATATAAATGAGACTAGAAAAAACTAAAACGCTAAAAAAGCATCCAAAATTAACAACAGGGATTTACTTAAAGGGACACTATAGTCACATGAACAACTTCAGCTTAATGAGGTTGTTCAGGTGAGAACTATAGCTCCCTGCAGCCTCTCTCATGTAAACACTGTATTTTCTGAGAAAATACAGTGTTTACATTGAAAGCTAGGAACACCTCCAGTTGCAGTCACTCAGAGTGAACCAGAGGGACTTCAGAGTTGATGGAGGCATAACATGCCTCCATCCATTCAGGTATGCTGTCAGCAGAGCACAGGGCAGCACTGTGCACAGCATTCTGTGATTCCATATCTCCTCCCTCTGCATGAAGACACTGAACTTTCCTCATAGACATTCATTGATTCAATTAATCTCTATGCGGAGATGCTGATTGGCCAGGGCTGTGTTTGAATCATGCTTGCTCTGCCCCTGATCTGCCTCTTTGTCAGTCTCAGCCAACATAGGCGTGCACATCCTATTGCATTAGGGTGCGAACCCTAATGCACAAGCACATGCCGCGTATATGTACTGCTGTGTGTATGTGTGCTGTGTGAGGGTGCTGTTTGTGTGCTGTGTGTGTTTGTTAGGGTGCTGTATGTGTGTGGGTGCTGTATGTGTGTGTGGGTGCTATATGTGTGGGTGCTGTATGTGTTTGTGTGGGTGCTGTATGTGTGTGTGTGGGTGCTGTGTGTGTGAGTGCTGTGTGTGTGAGTGCTGTGTGGGTGGGTGCTGTGCGTGGGTGCTGTGTGTGTGGGTGATGTGTTTTCTGTTTGTGTGCTGTATGTTTGAGGATGCTGTGTGTGTGTGTGGGTGATGTTTGTTTGCTGTATGTGTGTGGGTGCTGTGTGTGTGTGGGTGCTGTATGTGTGTGGGTGCTGTGTGTGTGTGTGCTGTATGTGTGTGTGCTGTTTGTGTGCTGTATGTGTGTAGGTTCTGTGTGTGCTGTATGTGTGTGGGTGCTGTGTGTGTGCTGTATGTGTGTGTGTGCTGTTTGTGTGCTGTATGTGTGTGTGTGCTGTATGTGTGTGTGTGCTGCTTGTGTGCTGTATGTATGTGTGTGCTGTGTGTGTGCTGTATGTGTGCTGTATGTGTGTGTGTGTGCTGTTTGTGTGCTGTATGTGTGTGTGTGTGCTGTATGTGTGTGTGTGCTGTATGTGTGTGCTGTATGTGTGTGTGTGTGCTGTATGTGTGTGTGTGTGCTGTTTGGGTGAATTGTGGGGGTGGAGGTGGGGGCAGATTAGTTAATAAATATCCCCCCTCCCTTCTTACCTTACCCCCCTCCCTTCTTACCTGCGGGGCTAGAGTTCAATCTCCTGAGATCTCCAATGCCGGTCTCACTCCATAGACGTGCCGCAGGGATTAGGTTGTGCCCAGGCACACCCGGCACACCCCGTGTGCACGCCTATGTCAGCCAATCCTATGGGGAGGCACTGTGATTGGATCAGGCTACCACATGTCAGCAGACTGCTTGTTTTTCTGAGTCTAACAGGATGCAGGTTTACAGCTTCAGGCTTGAATACAGTACGATTTTTACTATATTTATGGAGGCATGAGGGACCCAGGAGGGCTAGATGGTGGTGTTAACACTATAGGGTCAGGAATACATGTTTGTGTTCCTGACCCTATAGTGATCATTTAAGGGACAGCTATTGAGTTTAAACTTTTGTCCATTCTCAGAGTTCTCATATGCTCTGTTTTAGTACACAATCCACTCCTACATAAAGCAATGACCATAGTGTTTGGTCATAGCTTTGTCAAACTTGAAGATGCAATCTAAAAAAACCAGAAGAAAATAGAGACATAGTACTCTCTCTATAACCTGAAGGTATATGACATAAATTAAAAGCACTCACAGGATTACATTAGTCAGGACTTGCTTGCTGAGGAGTGCTGTCCTTTTGGAGGAGTGTGGGTAATCTGTATTGATGCAGCTACAGCATGTCAGCAGAATCTTAGTAGCTGTCTGTCTGACAGTGTGGTAAGACTGTTTTCTGATCCTCTACCATGCCGCTCATAATACCGCAATGTATATCACCCAGTGCTTTGGCTTTTGTCTTACCACCACATGGGTTGGAGTTCTGCTAATAACTGAAAGCTCAGAAATGAATGAAAGTCCTGCCTAATACTTTCCGTGGAGCGATAGGTCCACTTCATGAGAGGCTGATTCATTGGAGTGGAACTTATATACCCCATTGTTCATAAGTTAAAAGACACAATAACATGTTTGCAGGGTATATTTCCAAAATATCCTAAGTAAACACAAGAAATATGCAAAGCATAAAAAATAATAACTAAAAATACATAAGCAGGAAAAAAGTCTGCTTATATTTGGAATCCATACCATATTACTTTTGGATTGAGCAAACCGTTCTTTCACTCCAGGTGCTACTTTGGAGGTGACCACAGAATAGCATAAGTTTGAGAACAGTCTCTGGAAGCAGTTTGGGTCGTACTCGTAAGCACTGTAGTTAGTATGTTTATCTCCCAAGTTAAAAATAGTGTAATACCTACTAATATTGGGGAACTGAGATGAAGCAGTGGTCTTAACACAATGACATAACTAAATTCCCATAGTTGTTTTCTAAGATAGGTGATTTACAACTTTGTTTTTGTGCGCTGTTCCCTTAATCTATAAATTGAATATTTCAAATCCTGTCTGAAA